GCCAAGCTTTATTCCAATTTATATTTCTAAATACATTGGCCCACAATAAGCTTTTATAAGTAGCTGTATCACCTGTTATAATATTCCTAATATATTTATTAGTACAACTTTGTTTAAAAATATCAATGCTTCCTGGAAACATGCTGTCTTTAACATATATTGCCTCAGAAGTATCACTTCCACAAGCTCTTATAAAATGGACAACTTGTTGAGGTATGGCATCAAATACAACAGCATACTCTTTTGGTGTAACTGGAAAACCAAATTTATCCAAAAATTCACTATAAGATAAATTACCATTTGGATTTAGAAGTTGTCTAACTAACACAATATCATTTTCATACCAACTTTTATAAAAGAGAGATTTATTTTTATACTGAATACATCTATTATTCCAAATAACATATTTATTTGGGGGAAAATTGTGCTTAAACACCAGCATCCAGGCCAATAAAGCTTGTTTGTGAAATTTAGCTAATTTCACAGGTAGTTTGCCAATTTTAAAATCTCAACAGAAGATCTATGCCACCCATCATGTCAAACAAGTGTTTTGGAAATGTATACCACATGCTGTCCTTTTCTTTCATGAAGTTAATTAACCTTGAATGTATTGTTTAAAGTTTCAAAATTAAGCACAGATAAACCACCTTTACCCTTTGGTTTACATAAAATTCCCTTTCTCAAATAGTGATGTCTATTCCTCCATACAAAATTAAATAACATTTTGTCTAATTCTTTGTACACATTAGATGGCATATCTAAAGCTAACGACACATAGACAGATCTTGATATCCCCTCTGCTTTTGATAGTAAAGCCCTACCATTCAGGGATAAATCTCTTTGAAGCCAGATATTAAATCTTGTTTTAGTTTTGTTCATTATAGGCTTGAAATTGAGCACACTGCGTTCATTCTCATTTATGTATGATAACACCTAAATAGGTAACTGTATGTTTAATAGGAATACCATGTAATTCTGTTAAATTACATGTTTTAAGTGGAAACAGTATTGATTTATTTATATTCATTTTAAGACCTGATACTGAGGAAAAATCTTTAATACAATTAATCGCTTTTAATATTTCAGAATCATTTTAAAGAAAAATTGTAGTATCGTCAGCGAATTGAGATAATTTAAATATTCTTTCAAATACTTTTATACCTTCAAACTCTGCTTTTTTATATATATAGGGCCATAATTTGTGTAACTGATAAAAACAAAAATGGAGACAAAGGGCTACCCTGCTGTATACCTCGATTAATCTCAAATCTACCACTTGTACCCACTGATAATTTGACTGAACTATTACATCCATTGTAAATAGTTCTAACAGCTTTTTGAAAGTATTCTCCAAAATCAAAATGTTTAATACATCGAAACATAAACTCATGACTTACAGTATCAAATGCTTTGTAAAAGTCTATGAATAAGATAAAATAAGTATTCGGTATGTAATGATTGTAATCAATCATATCTAAGATTAACCTAATATTATTACTAATATGTCTCCCACTCATAAACCCTGATTGTTCTTCCTCAATTATCTCTTCCAAACCTTTCTTTAGTCTTCTTGCAAAAACTAGAGCAAGAAGTTTAGCATCATTATTCAGAAGGGTAATTTGTCTCCAGTTATCAATATAAAGTTTATCCTTATTAGGCTTAGGAATTATTGTAATAAGACCTTGTTTGAGAGTTGCAGGGAATTCCCCACTTGCAATTGATTCTTTAAACATGGCTACTAAAAAAGGAGATAACTGGACATTGAACATCTTATAAAATTCACTAGTAAGCCCATCGTTTCCTGGAGACTTATTATTCTTCAAGCCCACAATACAATTTTTAATCTCTTCTAGACTAATTTCTTTGTCACAAAATAATTTAAATTCATAATTTATTCTTTTTGTTGTGTCAGAAATTTTACT